CCGACCGTGAGAAAGCTAAGCGAGACCAACTCAGGAGGAGGAGAGGACTCCCCACCACGTGTGGGGGGAGGAGAAGAAAAGGGGAAGGAAGATCATCAACGGCTGCCTAGGCAAAGCAAAGTAGGTGTTTTACCACGTCTCTCATGTAGTTCCTTGTTCTGGGAGGGATAGCGTCACTGTAGTGGAAGGGATCCCACCACCTGCCAGCCAGCCAAGGAGGGCCTCCAAACGACCAACCCCCAAGGAGAGAGAAGGCCCTGCGATGGCAGACTGAAGTCAATACCCAGGGCGTGAGAGTAGAGAAGAGCCAGACTCCCCTAGACCGAGACCAAAGGCAGGAGTGGGCGGGAGGGTGGAGAATGTATTGCGATGAAACAAAAAACTTATGATACACTTGTGGTGTTCAGGTTTCAATCGCCGGAGGTGTAGCAGAGATGGAGGATGTTCTGAAAGCTAAGGAGGTACCTCGATATTTATATTCTGCATCTGAATAGTTGTGGGCTACATTTATCTATTATCAAACAATGTACTTTTTCTATTTCCTACCCTTACTAGTGTAATGGGAATTTGGTTAACCGTGATTAACTTTGTATCTTGCTTAGACTACAGTCTCCATACATTGTCGTATTTCCACGAGGGTCTTTGAAATCTCTCTAGCGAAAACATATGATTCCTTTGTCTAGGAGGTTCATGTATGCGCAAGTGGTCTCATCTTAAGCCAACTCACCATCCTTCTTGCTTTAACTGGAGTCATCAGCTTTGTCAAGAGACTTATCAATATATTATTGACTTTACAACTTGACTGCATCGACTTTGAGAACCTTTTACTATGATTAGACTAGTCAACATTATGGGAAAGTCCCTCAACCCCAGCTAGGCCACTGGTTACCTCTATACTGTATGAGTATTAGACTGGGCCTTGTGCCTTGTCTATATAGGTATGTTCCAATAACTTATTAGACTATTGGTCATTTTGGCCCAACACTTTCTGTCCATTTTCGAGATGGTCAATCTCACTTAGCTTGTAACTATATGGTTACCCATCTGATTGACTCCGTTCTACTTTTGAGATATAGTCTGAGGCCCCCTCTTATATACTTTGTGAACCACCTTCAGTCGGACAGATGGCAATGGTGTATATGGTGTGATGAAGCATGCTTTATTTTAATTCATTTATACTGATAGGGCGCAAAAGTCTGAGGAAACTATTATGATATACAGGCCTAACGGCGGCACTGGAAGGGGGTATTGGCCATAGAACTTTTGTAGTTTTTAGGAGGTCTGTATGTGGGAGAGGTCTGTGCATTCATAAGTGTAATACAACCAGAATGGGATAAGCGGCAGGAAACTATTCAGCTCACCATTTTTATAGATAGGGTTCTACTGGTGAAACTACTTATCTTCTTTTGTAGACTGGAAAAAAAGTCAATAATTATAGCCAAATAACAATTTTATGATAGTCAGGTGATTTTGAAGTTCAACTCAACTATGTATGCCAACTCAACTAATATAATTGAGTGGCTTGATGAATAGCTTATACCTGTTTTAAATACTCAACTGATACTCCTTATGATTGATTTATTCTCTGGACACAAAGTAGAAGAGGCATTTAATACCTTCTGTAGATATAATATCATGTCAAGTGTGATTCCTGGGAGCTGTACTGGTCTTGTACAGCTATTAGATATATTTATAAATCATTTATTTAAGGATATATTGAAGGTTAGTACTAGTATATCAAAATAGAAGAATTGAACTTATCTAAAAAGAGTATTTCATTCTGATATAGAAAGCCATAGATCAGTAACCTGAAGAAATTAAGGAGGAAGAGGAAAGGATCATAGTAACTGGGAGTAGACTTACTAGTAATATGATTGGTTAGTGGTGGGTGGCTGGCTATCACTCAAGCCGTAGGTGAAGCATAGGAGAAGTTTTCTTCTTCAAAAATAGAAGTTGTCCAATGAGTCTTCTGGGCTGTAAGTTTTTTATTACCAATTAATAGCAGTAAGGATAATGGATTATCTATAAAAGGGTTAGCAAATAAATTTCTTGTAGAAGAATTAAAGAAATAGGGGAATGGGGGGGGAGCAGGATAGGAAACTCAGATAAGAATAGAATCGATAGTCAAGACTCAGAGTTAGAAGATGTTGAGAGCATAGATGAACTGAATTTTCACTATGATTAGTAACCAAGCAACAATAAAACTCATATTGACTGATCTACATGAAGATCCCTTGACATTACCTACTTTAAATTAACCACTCTATATAATGTCCAATTATTCAAGTTTTTATAGTAGTATAAGTAGTTAAAATTTTGATTTATATTCATATAAGTTTGTATTAAATAAAATCTAAATAATCTTTATTGTATTATAGTAAAAAAATATTGTAATATATTTATTTCACTATTATTTAAAATATAAACATCTATATTTCTGAAATTTACTATAAATTTATTTTAGAATAGAATAGAATCTTAGAAAAAAAATTGGTTAGCATATAGAATAATATTTTTTTTTAAAAAAAAATCCTTCTATAATTATATAATAAGAAGAAAACAGAGAGCTAGTTGATATTTCAGGTTTTTAAAATCAAAAATATATAAGTTATAAATTAAAAGTTATCTGAGTATTTGTCTATTTAAATTAGGTTTAAATATAAAATTACTTGTTATAGAAAACAAGTACCCCAACATTTGGTATATAATAAAAGAGAGAAAATAGTAAGGAAACTAAAGGTACGAGCTTGGCAACAAAATTCGTTGACCCCCCCCCCCATTTTACACCAAAAATAGGTGTTTTTGCTTTGCAAAATCAGAGCTTTGTCTCTCTGCAAAAAATCAGAAAATTCACTAGCATTCTTAGTGACATCTAGATATTACTGCCCTTGAGTATCAAGCTGTGTTAATAATTGCTTATGGCACAATTCTCTAAAGCATGAGTGTGGTCCAATGGTACTTCCAATTTTGTATGAGGTTCACATACAAAAGGTACATTGCAACCATGTTCAATCCAGACACTAAGCTCCCAGCCAGAATTGTACAGGGCGAAAATTCTGATAAATTTTTCTCACAAAGCCTAGGTAATATCCTACATTATGGTATTAATTTTATCAGTTCTTTATTGCTTTTAGATGAGCTGTGATTGTGTGAAATCAGCCACTTTTGGTATAAAATGGGAGGGGGTCAGCGAATTTTATCATCAAGATTGTACAGGAATAAGAAGTACTCTGTATAAATAAATTAAAGTTAGTTTAAAAAATAAATCTAAAGTTATGAATTAGGAAATACTTGACATATTCTCTATTATTTTTTATTTATTCTATATTATGTAATTCCTGTAAACAAATAACTAAGATGTCAGTAAACTATTAAATATAATATTATTATAGTAAATATTTAATTTCCTAATAATAAATATAAAAACTAACTAAGATAGGTAGTATATAATCTCTTTGGAAGTCAGGAACTTTATTCAACTACTTGTTGCTTGTAATAAATATAATAGTCAAGCCACTAGTAAAGAACAAGTCTTTAAGTTGTTTTAAAATTTAATAATCCTATATTTTATTATACAAATAGTTTTTAGAAGACAAAGTAGTTGGAAAATAAATTCAAAACAAGAAAAATAGTATTTATCAATTTAATTCAAGAATTGAAATTTATAATTTTAGATGTAGGATAATAAAATTATAATTCAGAATTATTAGTATTGAAAATAAGTAACAAAACAGCCTCAAAATATGAGTATAGTATAATTAAATAATAATACAAATGGTTTAATAACTTGAAGGAGCATCAATAATATTACTTGACTAGAATAATATTATCTATCTATTTGAATCTTTTTCTTTCTAAATGTAACAACTTTATAATAAAGTACAATTGATAACTATTCCTACTTGGTCTTAATACCTGAAAGCTTTGATTTTTCTGCCTCTATAATTATAAATAAGCTTACAATTTACTTAGTCTTTTCCTGTATCATATCAGGTTGGTTTAAATTAAAATACATAGATACATATTTTCACGCTCCATGTGGTTCATGCGCGGGTAATCACTTGTACTTTACTGTTAGTCGAAGATGAGGAAAAAACCCCTATGCTTACATTCCCCAAGCTACCCCCCACTACTCCCGGTACCGACTACTCCGACGTCCAGTAACAAACCAATTGCAAGCACATCACCAGTAGATTATTTACGGGATGCCAGGAATTTGAATGCTTCTGGTAGAGGACAGGACAAGGGGTAATTGTACTTTTTTGTTTGTATCGGAGGGCTCCCATGGCGGGAAAAGTAAGAGATGATACAATTCTTTGTTGCTTCCAGGGGATTCAGGGAGTAAGTATCATAGCGATCGAATTCTTTAGTTTCTCCGGGGCTTTCGGCGGCGGGAGCTGCAAGGGGTGACAGTATTTTAACGCAGAAACGTGCGCCAACGACAAACCTGCATCGTGACTCGGTTCTGGGGACATGAGGGGCAAGAGGGAGCTCGTGCACTCCGCAGAGACCGCGAATGCGAAACAACGAAATCCGTTTGCGTTCGGTTGGTGGTATCATATCAATTCGGGGAGGGATAACAATGGATGATCACTGCTTGAATGAATTTCACTTGAGATGAAAACGAACGTGTGACTCGGGAAACTCATGAACAGGGTGGCCGGAAGCTTGGGACCCATATCGTGAGAGCTATCAAGCTCTAGTATTATATGTGAAGTTTGGCCGTACAGGAAAGGAAAGATTTCGGATGAAGGAGGTTTGTCGATTATTGTAAATAATTATTCATACAGCATATCGTAGTGCTTCAATCATGAGTGGTGACGACATGGTCCAAATTCGCGGCAAAAGGAGGGATAAATAAAAAAAATCCACTAGCAATCCCGCTGGCTGGATGCGTCGTGCCCCTTTGCCTCCTTGCCCCCCCCCCGTCTTCCCTCTTACGAGTACTTTTGTGTGTGAGCTCTCGCTTCTGTTCCCTTCTTTCCCTCCCCACATCCTCCGCGCCGGCGTCGGTCTTCTCGAGTAGGACTACGTAGGCAGTTCAACAGACGGTCCTCGTACAACTCAACTCCCCTCCTCCACCACCACCACGCTTATTTGTGTGACTCTCCCTCCTCGTTTCCTTGTCCTCCCCCATCGACCTCCCGACCCTCAACCTTGACACGATTCTGCGTTCGCCTACCCCTTCTCCTCCAAATCCTCCCCCTCCCTCTCTCCCTCTCCCTCTCCCTCCCTCTCCATCCCTTCATCTATCTCTAAAATTTCTAACATCGCATCACTCACCCGCTCGCTTACTCTACCCCTACCGGACAGCCTCAACGTCATCCGACTTGCTCCTTGAGGCTAATCCTTCGACAACCAGCTGCTTGAGTATCTATCCTGATCCACTTTTATCGGCTGGATTATTGAAGAATTATAAGTTCTCAGAGGCTGTGCACAAGTGGCAGTCCAATCACATTTTACGATACGATTGGGACCTCATCAGCAGGAATTAACTCCTCCATCTCTCGTTGTTTGTAGTGTCTTGGTTCACCGCTAAAACCCTATGCTGCCTTGATTTGGCCTGTTGCTTTCCCCTATTGAGCGATTAAACAGTTCGAATTCCGAAATTAAGCAAGTAGGTTTCGAGCTCAAATTCGTCCCCGCTCACCGTCTCTCGACCACTTTGTAAGCGGCTCTTGTGCTATTTCGTCCTAACACTTTGTCACAGGATTCGGAGTCGACAAGTAATCACAATCACTATCTTACCTCATGTCACTCGAAGGTAGAATCGGCAATCCTCGGAGTCCAGAACAGAGAATGGATTCTCACCATCCTCGACAACTGCGGAGCTATGGTCACTATAATGAGGGCGGGCGGTCCCATCCAGATTCTCGGCCGATGGATAGCCGTGCAAACCTCCGCTCCTACCAACAAGAAGTGGAAATCTCATACGATGAAAAGCCCAGGGGCCCTGAGGACAACACCGCCACAGGGGACGTTTATGGTCGTTCAGAGGGTGACAAATCAGAGGACGGAAAAACGGATGACGGCATCAATCAGGATCATAGATCCAAGTCTAATGGAGATATATCCCAGGATTTAAATTTGGATACCCCAAATAATCCCGGGGCTGCTAGCACGGGAGACGCGGCGCAAAATATACCGAAGGTGCGTTTTAATTACTTGAATTCATGGTCACAGCTGAATTCCCCCCAGGATGAGCCCGAGCCAAACCTAACCAATGATCTGACGAGTGAAACACAGCAACCTGGGAAAGGGCTCAATTCAAATCACCACGGTTCTACTGATAAAGAGTCTGGAAATATGGCTAATCCCAAAGATACCTTATCTACAAAAGACCCAAATGAACTTCGTCAAAAGGTATTGGAATCATTGGCAGAGAAAAAGAAAAAAGCAGCTGTCTTTATCACTCAAGAAAGTGAAGGAACAGGCAGGAAAGAGGCATCGCCGGAATCTAGAATAGGACCGGTAGGAATGAACACTACTGAAATTGGGAGTGGTAATGACAAGCCTCCAACAAATCCATCGGCATCTAACCCTGAACGCGAGGCAGCCGTTAATGCGCTGTTGGCCGAAGCGATGGGGTCATCTAAGACAGTCTCTGGCAAAGCGGAAAAGGTCCAGAGTGCAGGTGCATCGACCACGGCTAAACACTCTGTCAAGTCACCCACGGAAGAGTCCTTTGATCAAACTCGCCGCAGGAAACATTACCCTGAAGAGCCAAAGGCTAGTGGGATGACCCGAGGACCTTCAGGCGAATTCCATGAAAGTACTTCGCCAATTTACGATGATCTTGAGGTCTCGCGTCGGAGTAGTTTTGCTGGGCACCATTCATATCCGCGCAATGACAAGCAGTCCCGCCCAAAGAGGTCCCCAGAGGATTTGCCAAGACGGGAGGGAGCATACAAGGAAGATTACGGTCACTCTTCTCGCCAAAAAATATCACCAGCATCTGCCTCTAGGCAAGAGTTCCCTCGGGCGCAGCGTGCTTATGAACATGAGGAGAGGGACAGGAATGATGCTCGGCAGGAAGCACGCCATCGAAGTGATAGATTCGAGGATCCCTCACCCTCCACTAAAGAATTTAGGCATCCCCCGGATAAACCAAGTGCAAGTCGCAGAGGCGATGGTGACCATCGTGGGAAGTACTTAGAAGAGGAAAAACTCCGTACCAGGGAAGAGCCTTCATCATATAGGTCCATGGATGTAGCCAGGGAGGACGACCCAAGAGATCCTTACCCGAGGTATTCCCGTCGCATGATGGATCCCAATTGGCAAGATCAAGGCCCAGATGCTCCTCCATACCCAGCTGGTCGATATCTTCCTCCTCGGGATGATCATCGCCTTCCTCCGATAACTCGTCCTCCGGAGACGGACTATGCTGCTCTCTATTATAAAGATCTAACTGAATGGCTTGAGCTTACGGGATACCACGACTATTCGTATCGTCAGATGATTTTGAGGCGTCAACGTGATATACGTGCAATGGAAGACAGGAGAATAGTTTTAGAGGATGACAGGGACGGCGCCAGAGGGTATTCGGGAGTGCCACTCCGTGAAGAAATCAGTTCCAGAGATCCAAGGAGGACTCGCGGACCACCTTCATATCCATTGCTGCCTTCTGAAATGCCACCACGGGATGACAGGGATCCATCTAGTCGTGTCCCGGAGGGCACTGCTCATCGCTCATCATCTAGGGCTGCGCTATATCCGCCACTCCCAAGACTCGATGACAGGACTCGTTATCAGAGTGATTTGCGTGTCGCTTCGCCTCAGGGAGAGGTTGGGGGTCTCAAGAGGCGAGCTCCGTTCCGTGATGAATACGATGATGCAGGCCCTGTTGGGAAGTCGGCACGTGTCAATTACGAGAGCCAGCATCGTTCTACAGCTACTCTGAAATCGGACGATTATGTCAATGCTGAACAATCTGGCGTTCATATGAAGCATCACTCGGGCCATGGAGATCCCGTTGACCATAGGCACCCATCCAGGCGTGTTACTAAAGACCGGTTTGAAGACCCGGAAGATGATTCGGCTGGTGCCATACGCCAAAGTTTATCCAAGAGAATAGCTACAGGTCGTGGGCGTGAACAATCACCTCCTCCACTTCCCCTTGAGGCAAGGCGAGATCGTAGTTTGAGCCCTCGCCATGGCTATGATAATAATGACCGCAAGGAAGGACATAAACAGGGGCCGCCGAACAAACCCCACCGTGATGGGGATGATGACACTTCCTTTATCCACCCCCAACGCAAAGGGTTCGAGAAGGGGCGTAGGACGCCGGAGCCATCAGGGCCTAGATACGAAAAGGACCTTCAAAAACTGGGCCGATCGGCCTCAGGTAAATTTACTCCTAGAGAAGACTTTAGGAAACCATTTCCAGGCAGGCGCAGCTCATCCGATGATTACCGCTCGCCAGGAATTACTTTACGCCGCGGCTCTATAGACGAGCTGAAGAAGAGGCCATTCGGCCGTGGTCGTGGCCGTGGATACACTAAAGAGTTTCACCCCTTAACACGCCACAATGGGAAACCGGATTATGGAGATCCCATGGACCTTGAGAAGAGGGTTGGACCTGTAATTGGTGAGGATTGATGTTTGGTTTTCTGGCCTGTGGAATTATCACTGTTGCTTACACGCATTTGCCTCTAGACACAAGAGGTGCAGGTACCAGGTACTTTGTGGTTAAGAGCTTCAATCACGATAATGTGAAAATGGCCCAAAAAGACGTGAGAGATCTTGATACTTAAATTGATGCTATCAAAATTCTGACCAGAATCATTTGTGGACAATAGGAACTATGGGCGACTCAGAAGAAAAACTCGGAGATGTTCGAAGAGGCATTCAAAACTTCTCGTGACGTTATCCTCGTTTTCTCAGTTAACAAGAGCGGGAAATTCCAGGGCTATGTAAGTTTCATTCAGAGTGATCGTGGCATGGGGGTTACCCATATATATGTGTATGTCAGTCTAATATCGCACCAGGCTCGTATGGAATCTGCTCCTGGCTCAGCGCCGATACCAACATGGGCCAAGAACCTTCTCTGGGAGTCTTCAGGCCCCTTCAGAATCCGATGGATCACAATCAATGACATCAACTTCCATCGCGTAGCGCATCTGACTAACCGTCTGAACGAAGACCAGCCGGTCCTCATCGGCCGTGACGGGCAGGAAATCGACCCGGAATGCGGTGCATCTCTCTGTAGACTTATCGATGAGAGCGCAAACTTTCACAGAAACTACAATGAAAATGGAGGCAAATAAATAGCAACCTTTATGAACGGAAAAAAAGTGCATGGAGTACGGTACCCTACAAAAAAGGTGATGAAAAAATGGAAAAACAAAGAAAAAAAAGGGAATCAAAGTATAATCCAGGGGAAGGTCATTGTCAAAGTTTTCTATTACGCACTTTCACAAAACTTGTCGCGTGTTTACCCCCGGAGTGAGGAAATAGGGGAGAGAAAGGATAAGAGAAAAAATGAACCAAATTGTCTGGTCATCTGGGTGTTTTGCTATCATCATAAGTCGCGAATTAAGCTTATTGAGTCGAGTCGTAAAGTGTATTTTTTTACATTTATACGAAAAGGAAACAAAAACGAGAACGAAAACTTACGGCACTTCTCGTCTCATCTAATCTTGATCTGAGGTTTTTTTTTCTTTACCTCTTTCTTTCTTTCCTAGCTTTTTCTTCTGGCTTGCCTGTCGGACTTCCGCACCCTTGGTTTGCCAATAAATGACGGCAGGCAGGAGGGGATTCAGGATATCTTATTTCTTCTACCTTACAGCTCATAATTATTTGCTCTCTTTACCTTTTAACTCTAGCTTTCGTTTTCTTTTCTTTTCTGTCTCTTGAATTTAACTTAACTTACCTTCGCTAATCGACGTTTCTTTGTCTTGTGATCTCCTTCCTTCTTTTCTTCCTCGTACGGCTTACATGGCCTCTCATGCTAAGCACTACTACGAAGGATCAAAGTGGGACAACCGGCCGGGCCAAGCTAAAGGCAAGAGGCAATTTCTTTACTGTTCCTTTCCTTTCGCATGTATATAAATCGCAAGGTTGGAATACCAGCATCATTAATCAATCCATTACTTCCTTCCTTCCCCTTCCACTCCAAAATTCATACATTCACTTGATACAAGTCCGTTGCTCAATTTTGCGAACATGTTTTTTATATGGTGATCGCCAATGATAAAATATACATTTCCGAACCCCCCCCCCCCCTAAAGCGAACCCTGCCTAGAATTTATCTCATCATCAAATCTATCTATCCACCTCCCCAAACACCAAGTCCATGGTTCCGATAATCGCCACCGCATCTGCGAGTAAATGGCCTCTTGAAACCTGGTCAAACGAGCCCAAGTGCGCAAACCCTGGTGCACGAATCTTGCACCTGTAAGGACGCTCGCTCCCGTCCGAGACAACGAACACACCCATTTCACCCTTGGGGGCTTCGATAGCGCTGTATGTCTCGCCGGGCGGGACCGCATATCCCTTGGTGTAGAGCAAAAAGTGATGGATGAGCGCTTCCATGTTCTCCTTCATTGCTACTCTCGGTGGCGGGGAGATTTTGTAGTCTTCCACGCGGATGGGCCCCGGAGGCATCTTGTTGAGGCACTGGTGGATGATGCGCAGGCTCTGGCGGAATTCTTCCATTCGGCAGAGATAGCGGTCATAGCAGTCGCCCGCCTGGCCGACTGGTACATCGAAATCAACTTGGTCGTAGGCGTCGTATGGAGCAGATTTGCGGATGTCCCAGGGGACGCCAGAGCCGCGGAGCATGACGCCTGTAAAAGAGTAGTTTATGGCATCTGCCGCTGATACAACACCGACACCTTTTGTGCGGGCTATCCATATGCGATTGTCTGTCAGGAGTTCTTCGGTCTCGTCAATGCGATCTCCGAATTGGGTGGCCCATTGGTAGATGTCGTCCAGGAGGCCGACGGGCAGGTCTTGGTGGACACCGCCGGGGCGGACGTAGGCTGCATGGAGGCGGGCTCCAGAAACGCGCTCATAGAATTCCTAACGAGGTTTATTAGTCGGTGTTGCCGTTGATGAGTAGTGGCGAGTGTACCATGAGTTTTTCACGCTCTTCAAACCCCCAAAGGAAGGGTGTGAGGGCACCAACATCTATATATGTTTAGTTGGCGAGAGTTTCCAACTCAAAGAAAAGCAATCCTGAAGCTTACCCATAGCGTGCGACAGTACGGACATCAGATGGTTAAGGATACGAGTAATTTCACCAAACATTGTCCGGATCCATTTGGCGCGATCCGGAATCTCGATATTGAGGAGTTTCTCGACGGCAAGGGAAAAGCACTGTTCTGTAATCAAAATGTATCAGCATTCATCCCCACACGACAGGGCTGCCAGAATGGAGTACCGTTCGTCATCCTGCAAAATGGTTAGCATTGTATATTCAGACAAAACAAACTGCTTTTGGCTTACATGGAAACATAATCCAAACGGTCAAAGTATGGCAAAGCCTGTGAGCCCACCGTCAGCCGCCCAAGGTCCTATCTAATGCACAAGAACCTCCAGTACCTGAAGATACGTCTTGTACTCAATAAGCTTTTCTGTACCTCTATGCAGGAGCCCAACATGAGGGTCTGCACGAATGATCTCCTCCCCATTCAATTCGAGAATCAATCGTAACACACCATGGGCAGCCGGATGTTGAGGACCCTATCCAAAACCCGTTAACCCAGACCACCACCCCCTCCGGTACATCCGATTCTCAAACGGTAGCGAACATACGAAATTGACGGTATAATGCCTCATTTTCCTGCCATGCACCGGGTCGGGATGATTAGGATCCTCCGTCAAGTCTAACTCAGATTAATTCTGCCTATCAATCCGCAAGGTTTCCGGAATGCTCACAGTCATTTGTGGTCTCATTTTTCGGTGTTAACTCGGTCAAAGTGGTTTTCTGGTACGGCACCGCCTCTGCCCTAGATATCCGGGTCGATTTAAAGGGCCGAACTGGATGAGCGGCGCGAATCGGGGAGGTGACGGCCAAAGGCCTAGTGTAGGTCAAACTCCTAGTGAGTAGACGGGCAAAGGTTGAGGCCATTGCTGCTGGTATGGACTCTCAATTGAGAAGGTTGAGGGGAGAGGGCGAGACGGGTGGTGGGCAAAAGGGACCCGCAGCCTGGGGAAAGATAGTGGGGGAGGCTCCAGTTATCGTCCATATTTCGCATGTCTATCGGCTGTGCTCAAGATGAGTAGTGGCTGAGGCAAGATTTCTTTGATTAGTAATTCGGATCTAACTTAAATTGTGATAATGTGGGGGGGGGGGTTTCTCGGTCAGATTTTACATGAGCAGTCAGTATGAACTTTACTCTCATTTTAGTAAAATAGGGCACCCATCTCCGGCATTCTTCCCCTCGCCAATCGCATTAACTTATCATATCATTAGACAAAACCAGCGGATCTAAGCAGAGAGGCCAGGTGATGTTAACATAAGTTAATATCCGATGACAAGGCTTGGCGACCCTTGATCCTATCATAGCTGATGGGGGTGTAAAAACCATGGAACCAAACTCGGGGTTTAGGGTCCGAAATGCCCATTTCCACCATACCTCTAAATTTATTACCCCTTCATTAGGGTATGATTTTGTAGCCGCTCTCCTTAAGCACAATCCCAACAAGAGTGGCTTCAAGATACCTGAGAATTGGTCGCTATGCGGCCTCTCAAAAGGTGCGAGTCTAGGAGGGTCGACATTTGTCGGGGGGTTGATAGGCTCTTGACGTGAGTGACAGCTTCCAGTGACGCAATTGACAACTCCCACCTAGGTCAGACTATCATACCTACTCGGGTACACAAACCCTCTATGCCGCAGACTGGGCAAGCACGGATCGGGCTTTTGGATCTGGAGTGCGGAAAGTTTACTTGTAATCGAAAGGTGGATGGTAAGTTAGACTAGGGGAGCGATGTTCACCCATGATTGCATTCCTGCAACAATCACTCGTAAAAACCCACTCCCAATTCAGCCAATCACACCTATGATTTTGTCTGGCATTTGCCAATGCAGCCCTCCTTCCAATGCCTATCACAGATGAATTGGCTAGTCTTGCAAGCTTGGCCGCTGCAACTTGGTTCAGACATACCCCCGGATTGGTCCAGTTTCATGACGGCCCACGGTTGGGCTTGATTTTTCGTCATTCTTGCCATATCCCACTGCCATGTCTCCTTTGCGCCTCGCGCGTGGTGCGTCTTGTGCCTGGCTCCCCGCCCTACCCCCCCTCCCCCTCTACGGTGTGATTGGCGGCCAAGTGCCTGCCAACTAGCTATATGTTGGACGAGCACCGTACTTGCAGTTTGGATAGGACACCCTAACTAGACTACCCCTATCCTCTCCATTTTCTTAGAGTGATGAACACTCACCACTCACCATCTGTCTGTAAATCATTTCCAAAAAAAAGTTAAGACTTGACCGCTGCTGTTTGGAGTGCTGTTCTCCAACCAACCAATCCGCTTGACAATCAGGGACACTTGCAGGCTAATTCACGATCCAAGCGTTCTCAAACCGTTGTCCATTGATATTCAGTTCCAACACTGCGCCCCACACGGATTATCGGTACTGCACCAGAAGGATCTTTGGCTTCTGCCATTTCGACAGGTCTCTCGTACCGTATAGAGGAATAAATTCGCTGTCGGCCATACCATTCATACCTCTTGCTGGTCCATCTGTCATTCCCAATGTCCGAGTCTGTCGTTATCACCGTATCCGTATCGCTACTCGCAATCTTGAGTTAGTGCTGAGCTCTGTGAAGATCCTTTATCTCTTGCCCTAACACCCCCGTTAACCGTATTTTCACTAGGCAATTATTACGGGAGAATTACTACTGCAGCGTGCGGCGCCCTCGGTTCCACTAAGGAATACTACCCCTTTAGTCAATCCATAGACTCACCAGAAAATCCTTCTACCCTTCTTTCAGAGACGATTGAAAACTTATCGTCAACCGTACCAGGTCGTTGGAGATGCTGAAGCATTCGGAGTATCCCGTGCCTATACCAGAGGAGAGGTCTCAACGGCCGTCCGAGAGCACACGATCCCGCGAACTCTATCGGTGCGTACCGTTTGCTTTTACCTGCAGCCCCCTCACTGCTGTGATTCCGATAAATATATATTCATGCTTGATCCGGTATCTCCGGTGGGCCAGTGACCACTAACAGTTCCGATCTCCTAACCTTGTAGATACTATTCCCCGCCAAGTAACCCCGACGAGCAGCTCGAAAGTCGTGCAACGGATACAGTCCTCTTTGCTTTTGCCCAACTTACGGCCCTCAGACTCGACGTCAAGCAGGCCCTGATATCGCTTGTCGATTCCACTACGCAATACATCATTGCCGAATCTTCACAGAAACTCATTCCTCATCTTTCCAAATCAAAGTCAAAGTACACACCAGACCCATTGACTCAAGACACCTATGAGATTCAGGCTTACCCACGGTTTGGTCGCTTATGCGAGAAGGCGTTGGATCTCTTTGAGGATGTGCCGCCGGGGCAGTTTAATATGCTTGAGATAGAAGACTTGGCTGCTGACCCCCTCTATCAAGAAATCGACTTTGTCAAAGAGTCACCTTACATGCGCTTCTACGCTGGTGCGCCTATCAGAACGTCGAAGGGGCTGAACATTGGCACACTCTGTCTCTTGGATAGCCGTCCCCGGAAGCTATGTGAGGATGAGAAGGAGACTCTCGTCATGATGGCCGATGTTGTTATGTCGCACTTGGAGACGATCCGCAGGGAGAGAAAGAGAAGCGTTGGCGTTAGAATGCAGAACAATTTGGGGAAATTTGTGGCTGGTGGTGTGATAGCACGAGGGCAGACACCTGGGTGGAAGGATGGGAATGAGGGATCCGTGAAAATTGCAGAAAAGAGACCTTTCGATGGCCGACCTCCACCTTTCATAGTTGCCAAATGCCGTACAGGTGAGTGCGGACCGATCCAACCAAATCCTCTTCCACTTTCGCCCAGATCTTCAGAAGCGGATATATCTAGGCCGACCAAGCCTGAAGCTCTACCTAAGCGCTCCGAGTCACAAACGGGCCCTTGTGCTGAGTCCGAGGCTGTCTCCTCTAATTCGATACCAGCCCTCGATGCTAGTTTCTTGTCAAAAAGCTCGCCCGATACGTACGCCAGAGCATCCAACCTTATAAAAGAGGCCATGGGCGTGGACGAAGTCGTGTTTGTTAAGCCTCACCTAGGGCTGAATAGCAGCATACTTGACTGCCCCAGCGAGTACTTTACCCACTCGGCTGGTTCTGGGAGACGTCCGGTTTCACCGGGCTCATCGCTTTGGTCAGAGGAAGAGTCCCGTCTCACTCCTCGTATTGGACAGGGCCAGACGCCCTCAGTAGCTGGAATACTGGAGGAAGCTTTCCTCCAACAACTCTTAACGGAATACCCTTGTGGAGGGATATTCAATCACGCGATATCACATCCAATGCAGCCCCAATTTTCCCCCAGAACAAACGGTCCGGATGGATGGCGAGAAGTGGAACCATCAATTGAAGAGCGCGCTGTTTCTAGTTTTTTGAAGCTCGCCCCACGCAGTACATCAAGCATATTCTTCCCACTATATGATACTGTCGGAAAGGTTAGCTCTCTAGGTTTTGTTTTTATAAACAACCCTTCCCGGGTATTTAATAGTGCAGAACTGGGGTACTTGGGGATTTTTGGTAATGCTATCATGGCAGAGGTGAAGCTATTGAATACGATTTCGGGTTAGTGCCTTTAATCCATGATTTTCTCGATTATTACCAGAACTGATTACTTCTAGCGGATAATGCCAAGAGCAGGTTCATATCATCCATATCTCATGAGCTAAGGTCTCCTCTACATGGGATCCTTGCCGGGACAGAGCTGCTTCTCGATACAACTGTCAATGCGCAGCAACGTGAGCTTCTAGAAACGATAGAAAACTGTGGTCGTACCTTGTTAGATACGCTGAATCATGTACTAGAGTTTTCAACGCTAGACATTGCGGCCGTGCGAGATTTCCCCCGACAGTCGTCAACTCCCCACGCAAAACCCATGGAAATCGGCCAAGAGTCTGGCATCTCTAATTTTGATCAAAACTCGGAAGGCATCGCTAAGGGTGAAAAGGTTGTGATTGACCTGACTAGATTAGTGGAAGAAGTAATACAAGTGGTGGTAGCAGGTTATGGGTTTAAGCCGACCAACCTAGAGACACCGAGCAAAGTGAGCGAGGTCCAGTGGAAAACGTTACCAAGTGGTCCATCCAACGGCAGTCTCAGGAAAACGTTAACGTTGAATAAAGACACTGTTCCCATAGTTCTCGACATTGAGCAAAGAGAAAGCTGGCTCTACAAAACGCAATCCGCGGCATTCCGGCGAATCTTGATGAACCTGTTGGGAAATGCCCTTAAATATACCAACCGCGGTTTCGTGCACGTAAACCTCTCGATTCAGCCAAACCAGCTCACATCGCCTAACGAAGGGGCTGGGGTGGATCTGGTCACCTTGACCGTTGAGGACACTGGGAAAGGGATGAAGCAAGAGTTCCTCACCGAGGGTCTGTTTGCAGCGTTTTCCCAGGAGGACCATCTCTCTCCCGGCACTGGGTTAGGGATGGCAATTGCCAACTTGCTTGTTAAATCACTTGGTGGGACTATCACTGTGCAGAGTCGTCTGGAAGAAGGGACAAGGTTCACTGTAACCTTACCACTTCAACGTGGTAATTTTTCAGACGCACTCCCGGCGCCAGATTCTGTTACCATGGCACCGAAGACGAGTTCAACATTCGGTGAAACCAAAATCAAGACAATGGGGAAGCGGGTGTCAATGTTAGGATTCCATTCGCCGAGCGGAGATAAGCTACAATTAAGAAAACTAGAGGCCATGAGTAATTCTTTGCGGGCGTATCTGGAGAACTGGTTTGACATGACTATAATCCCGTACACAAACAGATGGCGGGCAGAATCAGATTTATTGATCGTGAGATATTCCGCAGAAACAAGCGCGATCGTTCAAGCATTGGCAGGAGATAACCCCGTGCTTGTGCTCCATGCCGATTCTTCAAAGATAATCAGCTCAACCTCAGCCTGGGTCAAGTCTCTGTCTACGCCGTGAGGCCCTCCCTGCCTGATTTTTATAAATGCAGGAATTTACTGAGCCTTACCTAGATGTGGCCCCAATAACCTGGCAAAGATGTTTGACGTACTCCTCCGGGATGGAGGCACGGGGAAGTTTGATGGGGCCGGATATATTGCCAAGGCTTCGTCCGGAGAAAGGGAGGAAGGGGGCCTGGATGGTCAGACCGTGGCAGAGGCCGTCTCCCAACCGCATACCTCAATACTTGATACCGAGATGAACTCGTTGGTTATTACATCAACTGTATGTATACCCTGCTCCTACATCGCAACAATTATACCCATAAAATTTGCAGGTCGGCCAGCCAGTAAAGCCATCTCCAGTTTCTACGATTGGCGAAGCGAAAGCTAGAAGTCCCAGGATCCTTGTGGTGGATGATAACCCAGTTAATCAAATGGTACGTCAAATTAGCCCCCATGTCCAATATCGGGCTCAAGAGTGAGACTAACGCTTCCCAGGTCCTAGTCCGCTACCTGAAAAAGCGCAACTATTTCTTCAGCAAAGCCGAAAACGGCCTCGTTGCACTCAACGATGTCAAGGCCAGCGCCAACCCCTACGACATAATCCTCATGGGTCTCTCTTCCCCGTTAGATCTCTCCAATTTGCAAGCATTCGAAGCTAACATATCCCCTCAGACCTACAAATGCCCGTGATGGATGGCTTCGACTCAACAACGGCAATCCGCAAACTAGAATTCGAAGAGAACCGCGCCCCAGTAACCATAATAGCCCTCACCGGCCTGGACGCCCGCGAAGACCGAAAAAAGGCCATCGCTTGCGGGATCAACGTCTTTTTGACGAAACCGGTACCCTTATCGCAGGTGCAGATTGAACTAGACAAATGGGAGAGCGGTAGTGGTAATAATAGAGGTGGTGGTAATACCCTCTCGCGATAGAGCCCCGTTTAGATTTTATTTTATTTTATTATGGCGTCAAGGGAAACCTTTTTTCATTTCACCCGATGGGTGGACGAATCATGGGAGGAAAGGGCAGGGAGTACACAGCGAATTTTTGTCCCACTTATTTATCTATTTGTTATTGTCCCGTTTCTGCTCATCTTTCATCCACCCTTCTCCCCCGAGGGCTGCCTGCACCCGCGAATTTCACAAGCATCCGGACACCTCAATTCCAAGGCTCACCAAAGCACAAATACTTTGAGCCAAGTTGTATGATAATTCACAAACACAGGTAAGTTAGCGGGTTGGGTGCGAGTGCAGCATCACGGAATCTCACTCGAGCCCACCCACTAGTCACCGGTGCAACCCCCAAACGCTTCACCCAACCTCACATTTCACATCCCAACCTGGAAAAACAGCAGGGAACAGCTCACGAAGGCGCAGCCAGGCGAAAGAAACTCTCCCCAATCGCCCTCCCGCCTGCCGGCCCGCTTCGCGGAATGGTATCCCGACAAATATTGAGTCTTCACTGATAATGATATGATATGATAGGGCAAGGACTCTACTCACTCGCCGCTCAGTCGCGGAGCCTGTGCCGGCGCATTCATGTAGTGCCCGCTCTATGGAGGGGTCTTTTTTTTCCCCCGCAAATCCGGGATTAACTAGGTCCCATGTTGGCGGCATACGGGTTCGGATGGTGGATGGATGGTGGATTGTTTGATTGTTGATGCTTGGAGTTTGTTGTGTTTATTCTCTCCTTTCTACCTTGTGGAACTCGAAGGGTTATGATAGTGTACAGTACAGTACAGTACAACCACCGTTCCTACGGGTAATCACACCGTGCCGTGCCCGCCACTAACCAACTTAACTTACCGTACCGGTACAGTACGATACAGCCGCCCACAACCGCACAAAATCCTCAATGTGCACACAAGGACTGTATCATACCGTGCCACAACGATTTCCCTCTCCCAACCGCCCCCCCTCGTGATAAGGCACCGGCGGGGGCAGGGCAAGGCAAGGGGAATCGCAGTGTATTGCACGGTACCGGACTACAGTGCAGTGCAGTATTGTGCAACGGGTTATCAAAAAAAAAAAGAAGGAAAGTCGGGTAATGCCAGGGTTTTTAGCGCATCTGATTATCATAAGTAAGCCAGGACATCTAGACTACCGTATTATCTGTCATACAGTGCCGTACTGTATGACCAAGCCATAGGAACCCTTTTTTTTTTAAAAAAAAAAAAAGCATTCTCGCGGGCCGGTGTTGCACGCCTACCGTAAGTTACTACTTGTAACCCGCACGAACGCCGTTCTGGAGGGGCGGCATACCGTATCGTACGATGCCGTTCATACCGCACTAGTACAAATAGCTCCAGGCGTTATCGCCAGGCCTTAGGCCAAAAGCCGAGAAACATTATGACATCATACCCGTACAATAGACGAGATGAGCAAGCCTACGGTACTGTATGTACTAGTACTCGTACTAGTACAGCATCGCGTCAGTTCAGGTTCAGGTTTCAGTTTCAGGTTTTGACCTGAATCATAAAAGCACATTTCTCAACCACGGTTTCGACATTACAAGTATATTGCTCGTATGATCTGATCCTACCTTATCGCCCGTTCCTATTGGGGGGGAGGGAGGGAGGGAGAGCTTGTTCCTGTGCCGGACGGTATATACCGTAACTGTACAGTACCGAACTGTACCGAACTATAATATGATAGTTTTCGATTGCCGGTGTGAGATGTGATTTATCATATTTATTGTCGTCGGCCAGTTGGAAACTACCGTACTCGAGGACTTGCTTGTACGAGTACGGTATGTGGTGGACTGAGCCAACTCGACGCCTCATTGCTGGAAGTCTACTGTATTATTTTTCGAGACGTACGGGTATGATACCACCACTCCCAGCCACGGCGTTAGTCTATGATACCATCGCCGTTGACTACCAATAACTTAACTTAGTGCCAGTACAGTACCGGTAAGCCTACGGCAAGCAACGTCCCCAACTAAATTAGAACTTAGACTAACGGCAATCTACGGTACTCGTACTCGATCGAGTACAATAGTACCACCACAATCAATAAATCAATCATCACTCCACCGCACCCCCAACCCGAGCCATGAACTCCCTACCTATCATACCTACCTACCTACCTACCATACCCGCGCGCGAAAACACATCAGCGGGGTAGACCAAATAACAATAAATAATAAACGAACGAACGAGAGAAAAACGTCGGCGACAAACTTCACTTCCCTACATCTCTTTCCTCTGGTTACATATATCTCCCTAGAGAAAGAAAGAAGGGTGTACGGTACGGTACGGTGCTTCTAAGACATTACATTACCATATGTGGAAACTCTATGATGGCAAGCGAGAGGTATAATACTGTACTTGTATGGGAGGGGACCCGCGTTGGTCTTCTGCGATAGGTGTGATATTTGTGATAGCTGTTTCACGTGGTTTGCCTGAGCAGGCGCAGGCTGTCGAGTGATTGGAGGGTTTTCCGCAGCGCTTGGAGTTGGCGGGTTAGGCGTTCGAGGTTGGGCATGTGCGCTGTTAGGAAGAGGAGGAGGGTTGAGTGTGTGGGCTTCCGGGCTGGTGGGGGGGGGGGGGGGAGTTCATTTTCATAAGGGAGAGTGTTAATGTGCCGTAGTGCACAGGGTATCATAGGGGGTGTGGTGAGGTAAGGCCCACAGGCCTCAGGATATGATATATGATACTGCCTATGATACGCAGAAACCATGACACCCCGAAAGACAGAAAAAGAGGAACGAACAGAAGAGTGTTGTAGGATAGATAAATATATATTCCATGATAATCCACGTTGATTGGGTCACGTGATGTTCTCCCCCCCCCGCTCTATAACTTCACCCCGCACCCGCTCGGAACCAAAGAGTCGAAACCACCCGCCCGGCTCACTCCCCAAAAATGGATTCCCCCAAAACCCTAACGGACCAGCACCCCCTTCCGAAACTCATAATCTTCGACCTGGACTACACCCTCTGGCCCTTCTGGATAGACACGCACCCAACCCCACCACTCTCCCTCGTCCCCTCCACAACCCCACCAACCCTCCACGACGCAATCGCAACTCCGTACCCTCTCTTCCCCGCAACCCTTCCCCTCCTGACCCACCTCTCGGCCGCCGCCGGCATAAAACTAGCGGTGGCATCCCGCACCCATACACCCGCGCTTGCTCTGCAGGCGCTCGACCTCTACGGCTTGCGCCAGTTCTTCGACTTTACCGAGATTTACCCTGGGAGCAAGCTAAAGCATATGCGCCGGCTGCGCGAGAAGAGCGGCGTAGAGTTCCGGGACATGCTGTTTTTCGATGACGAGCCTAGGAACAGGGATGTCTGTGGGCTGGGGGTTTGGTTTGTGATTGTCGGCGACGAGGGGGTTGATTGTGGGTTGATTGATGAAGGGGTCAGGAGGTGGAGGCGGGATAGGGGATTTGAGGGAGCGGGGGAGGGAGAGGAAGTGGTTTGACGGTTGTTGGCCAGGCCCCCGCCCGGGGTCGCCCCATGCCGTACTGACACCCATGATGCAAACGATAGTGCGTATATTATTATACGTGATTGAAAACCTAGAACGCAAGAAACAAGGGCGAATAATGATAAAAAAAAAGACTCCACCATGATATGGTGGTGGCCCGAGAAACCATAACTATCTTTTCTTCCGACTCCTCTACCGCACCCTCCTCTCTCTCTCACGAAATTAAGTATCCCTATTTCGCACTTCAACGACTCCTCCGTTCTAGATAGGATATAGCGATTTACATGTCTACGACATATTATATACATGCACATCACATAACTTATGAAAAAAAAAAGGGGGGGGGGGATGGGGGTCTCCAGCCCCACCCTCTCCATAACCTAGCGCCAAGTCAATCAATAAATCGGTTAATCAGACCTCTTCAGCTCATCTATAGAACTCTTGCCCGCCGTCTCTTCCCCTTCATGAACCCTGCCGTCGTGATCGGCCTTTGAATCCGTCTGTTCCAACGGGATGTACTCTTGCTTCCACTTGGGGATTAATCCTTCCGGAGCGGCGTAGAGCCACGTCGCGAACAGCACAATGCCGGCGCCGATCATGAACTATTGATCTAGTTAACACATGGTGAATATATACGAAGGGCTAGGGGGCAACCTACGCCCACAGTAACTTCAAAGTCAAAGAAGTAGATGCTGGCAATGAAACTTAGGAGGATGCTTATACTCGTAGCAAAGTTCTTTGCAATGTTATCCGCGTAGTTTACGCACAGTGCTACCACTATCCCACCGAGTGCCTGGCAGCCGATGGCAGACCAGACAACATTGTTGTATCCGTCAAAGAAGCCCCTTTCTAAAATCTCCTTACCGTCCTTTGCTACAACGCCGATGAAGAATGCCGGAAAGAGGGAGTAGAATGACAGCTGAACGTTGCGGACCCAGAGAGTGGTGTTTGACCCTTTGAGAACCTTTTCAAAGTACACACCAGCCAAACCGGAGATTGTGCATGCTACGACTACGGCTATCAAACCGATTGCTCGATTCATCTCTGGCTCCATGGTGTCCTCACCGATACCCTCATACGTTGCTGAACGACGGTGTAGCTTGGATGCTGAAGACATCGAGGACGACTCAGAGGCATTATCCGGAACAAGCTTTGTTGCGGCAGGCAATTGGACAATTGCAATACCAACGGTCAACATGATCAACGAAGCCCATTTCTTAGCAGTCAGGTTCCTATGCAGCATCAGGACGCTGAAAAGCGCAGTGGTCAGGATCTTGAGCTGGTAGGTGACCTGGAATGTCGCAGCATCCAAGTTCGACACCGCAACGTACTGCAGAGTGTTCTGCAGAGTGTACAGACACGCCGGAATAGCCAGTTTCCAATTATCCGGTCGAAACACATCACCGCATAGGTGCTTTATGGACCTTGCAACGGGGGCTTTCGGCCCATCGGCCTTGCGCCGTTCAAGGTAAGCGACCCATATGGATACCGACAGCTTCAACACTTCATTCAGGAATACCGCCGTCGAGGTAAAATAGCGGTTTGCGGACGTCTTTGGCATGATCCGGGAGTAATGCATTATCTGAGATCGAATGGTCAGTCACGCGAGCACATATGCGAGAGACAACCCTTCGGGAGCACGGGAAAGGGAAAATGGGTACGTACGAGGATGAGAGCTGAATTTTGGAAAGTCAACTGTGAACGCCATTGATTGATTGTCAGCCGCAGCCCCACAGAGTTACTCGATTGGGGTTCTATTTTCGAAAAGAAAAAAAAAGTATGCGTACAGTAATGAGTGAAAGGTGTTTCATGGACATGCCCATGAAGGAGGGCATTCCCTCCAAAGTTTCCGATACCATGATTGGGGTGGTTTCGGTGGGCTGAGTGAGGGTGAGATCCGGGCCGGTGGGAGTGATGGGGCAAGGTAATCAAACAGGTTTCTGGAGAAAAATCCCGAGATTCCAGGAGGAAACGTCGCCGCCGAAACGGTTGGCAGGGGCTGAGTAGGGGCAAAACGAAGGGAGACGGAGAAAAATGGGGGGCGAGGAAGACTGCAACAATAACGCGTAGGCGCTGATGGTGATGACGGATATGCTGGAGTAAAAGCGTTTCCTTTACGGCGCAGCAGGGTCGGGCAGTGGCCCTTTGGTCACGATGGTAAACTGATACCGATTCCAGCCTTCCGTCTCCCTTTCTTCCCTTTTCCTCTGTTCCTGTCCTGTTGTCTCCCTACAGCCGGTGTTTTTGGCAATTGCACGCGTGCTGAGGAATCCGCAGAGAGGGCTCTGTGATGAAAGCGAGATGGAAGGCCCCAGCTCCGTAGGTTTTTGGCGTAGCGATATGTTGGGAGGAGCTGCTGCTGTCCTGCAAACGTAAAAGTGGTGATGTTGGAGCCAAGGGGTTGAACGGGAAAGTTAATCTCGATTTGGTTACTGAGGTTCCTGACGGCCCGAGCTCGCCTGTCGTTAAATAATAATAGCTAGCACCAAGGTCCGGAAAGAAGCTACGAAACAGTTATATGAGGTTAACCAGCCAAATATAGCCCTATGTGTTTCAGGTAATAGGTGCCTACCCCTTTTTGTAACTATCATACGGAGAAGATCTGTAACCGGAACTGGACGACCCTCATTCGGGCTCAGTAATGGTGTGTTAGTTTGTCGATAGCGACCGCATTACAGGTTAATATCTTGACAAATACATATTAGAAGTTTTTGGAAAGGAATTCTCAGGCACCCCACTGCCCTACCAAAATTCCGACCTACTTCTAAACCCCAACACCCGCACGACAACTAGACATTCCCATCTTTTATCAATGCGTACGTAGTAGGATCATCCACTCTACCGTCTAATAGAGCCATAATTCTCATCGAGGGTGGTGGTTGAAAATGCTTTGGCCGTTGGAATTGGACAATAATCCCTTCGAAAAGTGCTCCGCTACTTGTACAGATGTCTCTCGGCGTAGATCCTGAAAGTTTCTTTTTTCCTCATATGTTTATTGATTTTGCCCAAAAAACGTACATGTAGCTTGTGCTATGGCATACAAAAGGCCTTAATTCCAACACATTATCAAAGGAAACAAACAAAACCCAAGCATTGCCTACGATGACTAGCAAAGCAAAGTAAAGAAACACAAGCCCAACTGATAGGAAAGTAGGTACAGGCAAAGAAACCCAAACTACTGTCCATCACAACTGCCATCAAAAAAAAACCTGCCAACAAGGAAAATTATCATGTAAAGTCATAAAAGTAAGCAAAGAAAATCCTATCTAGCTAACCAGAGTAACCTATGGGGTGTCTGTTGGTGACCCCAACAGGGATGCTGAGACCAAGGCAGTGGAGGAGGGCATGCTCGAAGGTCTCGTCCACCCCCTCATAGATCCTAAACGATTGCAAGTACCTTTACGGTACCAGTGCCTGTAGCCTTAACAGCTACGATTCGGCCAAGTGCAGGTCCTCGTCCATGGGTGACTGCCGGAGTCTAGACCGCCGTACCATACTACCGGTACCGGCATGTGGATATTCTGCTATGGATAACTGACGTTTTCCGGACCTTTCTTTGCGGGACATGGACAATCATAAGCCCACCCCCAAACCACTCGGATACCGTACCGGTACTGTTTTATCCCTCGGTCGGAGACTTGATCGGATCGGCCCGGTCCAGCAACCGAAATGCACTGTGCAGTGCGCACGATAGCTGGTCATAAATTTTATGATACCTCTCCAGCAAAAAGTATCGTGTGGTATGATGCAGTGCCCAATGTCATCATCACGTGCGGCACCGCAAATACCCGCATAGTCGAGTACCGGTATCATATCGGTACTCTAAGGGAACCACCAGGCTCAAGCCACGTCCAGAACCGGCTGCTGCGAGTGGTTGGCTTCATATTGGAGGGGCCCTATCAATTGGCCTGGTCATGTTCATCGCGAGTATGATGCAGTACAAGTACTCGAGTACTCGCACAGCACCGCGTGATTTTGCGGCAGATGGCATACTGGCACGGTATCCCTTCCATCAAACCAGAGAGCTCTTATGACATCCTTCTTACCACCGCGGCCAAAAAAAAACATGACCACCGACCATTACTCGAGTACCGTACCCGAGTATCCACACCCGTGGCTCGCTCCAGCCCGGCGAACCCCAAGGGCCAGCCGGCTGTGCGATGGTATGGTATTGCCCTAACACCGAGGGAATATCTCCCCACGCCGAGCACCCGGGTCGGCGATGCGCCTACCAGCGACCAAAGCGCCACCCCCGCATCAGGTCCTCCCTCAAAAGCTAATGCCGGTACCTTTCACACTCCTACCAGATTTGCTGGCCTATTATCTATCGGAGAATGGGAGAGAAAACTGAGGCGGGCTTTGCTATTGAGGAGCCTTGGCAATTTGAGGTTGGACTTTTCATGGGGTCCAAAGTGTTCCGGTTAAAGGGTCCACCCACCGCACTCGAGCGCCATACAGTAGAAGAGGCTGGTGTGACTGAGAATGAGGCCAGGACGTCCAGAATTTCCCCTCTGGATGGGGAGGAGGCCCTTCAGCCCTAGGTTGAGACAAATCAAAGAAGGCAACTCCAACGTCCCAGCCCAACTGCGGTTTTTTACGATACCCAGTGCCGGTACAGTACTGCACATGTCTCCCATCCCCATTGCAGTATCTATACTTGTAGATTCCCGTACTCGTAATCCTAACAAGCACGACGATTCGCTGCCGATATTCTGCTTTTCGCCCAAGACGGCAAGGGAGGGCAAGAGAAATGTGCGAACGGTGGTGGGATGGCGTCGGTATTCCCTCTTCCCCCTTCTTCGCCCCCAGATAGGTCCCCAGTAACACGGGATCCCTTGACTAGCATGGTGCATCGCTTGACAGCGATTCGCTGAATAGACGCCAGGCCAGGCCAATGCCAGGCCAATGCCAAGACCACGGAGGCGGCCCCGAAAGGTTGATGCGAGCACTTTCCTGGTTATTCATACCCGTCGCGGTATTTCAGGTTACCGGTTGGTCGCAGCAAGGCAAATGAAAGGGCGGGATTTCCCTTCGCTCCTTCTGGGGCCGTGGCCCCATTCTACTCGAGCGCGATACTGTACGAGTACCGGTGCTCGATTTTTACCCGTGCTGCTCTCCTGTCTCCAAAGCGCGCCCGTTTCTCGTGTTCCCGACTGCCGGTACTTGCCTCGGACGCGTGCTTCCTAGAAACACCATGGATTGAGGACAGGATAGGTACAAGTATGATGCCGGTACTTGCAAGATTACTGTACTCGTACCGGTACCCGTGCAAGTACGGTATCAGACTGGTACATGTACAGTACAGTAGTCTACGAGTATGCTCGAGCACCGTGCTCAAGTACTTATACCGTATCAAGCAGGCTAAATTTTCTCTTCTTCTTTTCTTTTTCCCCCTCCTTCTTCGTGTGGGGAGGGGGTCTTCCATACATTGGGAGGCGTCAAATGTGATTGTCCGTCTCCTACAGTATGTACCGTACCGTATCGGCGAAAATGTGAGAATGGTACGAATACCGTACCCCAGTTGGACGTGGTATTGGCGTGGAATCCTGTTCCAGATCAAGTCGCCCACCAGATTTGGGGGGCAATGAGAGCGTGGCCGCACGGAGTATTCAGGCCGTTGCACGGTTGTACCGTACAGTAAGTTACTCGTACTCGTACTGTGATCCGCGTTGGTTCGCTGCAATCACGGTTGGGGGAGCACGGGTGTCGCGATTGATGAGCTTCTGGATCTCATCCCCACTCGAGCACTCGTACGGTACTCGTACTGTGCAAGGTGGGGGGGATGGCTTCAAATCAGCTCGACCCTCACGCCTGTGGTAAGCTCTCTTGACCGGGGTCAACCATGCGGATCCGGTATGTCAAGGTCCATTCATGGCGAGGATCAACGGTATCACTGTGGAAACATGGCCCAGCAGTTGATCTCCACCGGTGCTGCGATCCGCTTCATCCAATCTACGTCACTCGCCGCTGAAGTCCGAGAGCCCCTTTGACCGTTTTCCATTCAACCACATGCTTCGCCGTGATGGGGGGGCATGGAAGGCACTTGCGGAAACCTTCAGTATCGCCGCGCTCCAGCGCGGTGAGCCCTCCCCGGACCCTTAGTAAGATTATCTACGATACCGTACTGGTAGCATATTGATTGTCTAAGGTACGCCCGTTCCCAACATTCGGTGCATGTATCATGTACAGTATATGCGGTCGTTTATTTGTTTGTAGGACCCGAACGCTAACGTGTATCGCCCTGGGATACGTGAAAGGGGAGTTCAATGAGCTGCTGAACCTCGTCTCCGTACCCTATCTCTCCCCCCCCCACCCCTACTCGTATCATACAGTCGTTAGCTTTGTTTGTGCCTACAATCCCGTTCATATCTCCCTCTCCCTCCCTCTCTCCCCATCTCCCCCTCTTTCATCCCCCCCCCCACCCTTCCGTCTCCTTGTCCCCCCCCAGAATCGCAGAGTTCGTGAACTATTCTTCGTTCTCCGGTCTTCAATCCATCTCCATCCTCATTCCTTACATTCTTCTACCCGCCCTTCTATTTACCTTAGCCGTTACAAGTGCCGCTCTCGGCGGCGGTAATCGGACTCGTCGGATTTTGTAATATTTCCCACCACCATCTCATCTTTTCCTGCAACCCAACATTGATCCAAATCGCCTGCACAGCCTTCCTCTCCCCCCGCTCCGCAACCTTCGCTCTTTTTTTCTTTTCTTCTTTTTTCTCGTTTCTTTCCCACCCTGTGGAGTGGTACTTGCTGTTAACTGCAGAAATTACCCGTACCAGTCAAACTCCCACCAGAAGGGGCTTCGCTTCCATTCTTCTGGTTTGAACTGATCAGCAATCTGTTCGCATCACAAGGTCACGTCCGGACAACCCCCCCCTCCTCCGATCGTTGTTGCGTGGACAGGACTCTTGGGAGGATCCAAGCCTCACATCGGTACCGGTAATATCCTTTCCTTTGGGGCTGCGCCGTTTTCCCCCAATTTTTCAAACCTCGCTTTTTCAACTCTCCGCGCGCTAGATCTTGGCCCGGCGAATAGCCCTTCGACTTGAGTAACTCCAGACTACTCGGAGTGCCGAACGCGTTTTTTTCTTTGGGACAAGACTTTTTGTAAAGCGGATCTTATTTGTATTAAGGGAATCTGCGCCCATGTGTGAGTTTT